GACCAGCCGATTAGCGATACAGAGCGGAATTGACACGGAAAGCCCAGGCTGCAATAACGCAAAGTCGGCTGTAATGAAACATGGGGGTCAGCGGATCCCCCCCCCCCCAAGCACACTACCAGCAATTAAAGCCGTAAACATAGTGGATCCCCAGAGTACAGATCACAGTAGATAGCCTTGGTGCTAGAGACTCACCAGAATGCTTCAGAGAGAGGGAGAGGGAGACAGAGACAGATTTTCTATTTCGAAATTTCTTTTATTTATTTCAATTTCATACAATTATGCTTTAACCACATCTTTTGTTTCAGCCATTTCTTCTGTTTATTTCATATTTATCCCAGTCATATGTCCACCTTGATATTTCGTCAGGCCTTTGTTTTGTGTCGTCTAATCCGGTTACATGTTACTGATTGGATCTTATGAGTAAAAATTCCTATGTGCTGATGCACAAAAGGCACATAAAGGATCTGGGCTCTAGGTCCCCTCAGCGTGACGCCACAGGGAGGCTCTCGCACGGACCGCACGTGTTTGCCCAGAATCGCACTGCGCCCCCAGTGGCCGAGGTAACTCTCAGCTGCTGGTCTGTTTTTTAACTACCCCCCCTTCCCAGTATATACTGTACATGCAGCTGTAAACGAGCTGCTGTTCTCCACTGATCCAAAACACCCAGAGACACTTGAGGCCAGTGCTGGTATTATCTGTTGTTTTTTTTTGGTTTTTTCTAAATGCCATCCTCTCTCTGCCGGATCTTTGATCTCGGCCCAGCAGCCTTTGACAACAAAAAGGAAAGGTTATATCAAATCCATCAGCCAGAACACAGCCAAAGGAAAAGGCATATAGGAAACAGCCATTTTTGCCTCATTAAACCACACAGTGTGCAGAGCTCGGGTTAAATAGCTGTGACTCCAGTGGCACTTTAATGTCATCGACCGGGGTGTGAAATTGTCCCTAAGGCTGCAATGACATGCCAAGGCTCCAGCTTGGGAATGGTCACACACGCCATTTCAGGGTACCGCTTCATGGCCCTGATAAGGTGGCTGTTACATGCAACTTCAAGCAGCGTGACACATGATGTTTGCATGTTGGGATTACCAGGTGTGATGGGATGGAAACAGAGGCCCCTCACAGGAAATTGGCTCACAGATGAGACAAAGATCTTTGTCAGGAGAAAAAAAAAAAAAAAAAAAAAAAAGGAAATCCAGCACTGACTCTTGCTCATTTCTGAAGTAGCAGAGGTCATCAAGCTGCAGGGGGCGCTGTGGCCAGCAACAGAGGGGAAAGCAGGCTGGTTGTTAGCAGACTCCATGTGCTGTCACTGCGATGGTTTACGGCCCGCTGGCGAGCAGAGCCCTCTTAAGCGGTGAGATAAATCCTCCGGGATAGCAACGACTTCCCCTGAGCAGGAGGGAGCCCTTGCTGAGCTGGGGGGGGGGGGGGGTTTACACTGCGGCCATTTACTCCCTGAGACGGAGTGGAGAGGCTAATCGATGCTCAAGATGCAGCTCAAGATCACCATCACCGTCTAACCAGCAGAGGGGTGCGGGAAGATCGTAGCCTATTCCAGGAAGTACTGGCTGGGCGGCACCCAACGTCCAAGGCCAGCCCATCAAAGGGCTCAAACATGGTGAGTAGCTCAAAGACACTCATCCACCTAAACTCTGTGTTTCAGACAAAGGGTGGAAATCATACATTTCTTAATCACCCACTGTAAGAATTTCATAGCCTTAGGCTTCATAAGCCTTTTTTGCACATACTTCTAAGCTGAAGACTACATCTGCTTGTCTCACCTTTACTTACACATGTTTATTGTTGCAACATCTTTATATTCCCATATCTATTATATTTTTATTCAATTTACTGTTGTGCATAATTGTATGTTTAATTGTACACGTCATGCCAGCAGCTGCTTATCCAAGGGAGACTCCACACACCAAGCTGGAAGAAGGAGTTGACTCCCAGTCCCACAGCTTTGAGGAAACAGAGCATCCCACTGAGAGCTCAAGACCCCATATCAATACACCCACAAATGACCTCACGTGAGGTTTGGGGACGTTGCTCCAGGAACGGCGTTCTACAGTAACAACAAAAACAGGCCGTCTATCAAATAGTGACTTCCAAATATTTAAACAGAGCCCTGGGGGCAGGCTCTCCTTTTCAAACCCCCCCCCCCCCCATTCAGGGAAGGCCTATAATTTAAAATGGACATACGAAAGAGGACAGACACTAGGGGGGGGGTCCTTTACTGGAAATCAGGAACCTCTACTGACAAGAACATCTAAAGGGGGGGGGGGAAAGAGTAGGCAAAAAAAGAAAGAAAAATCTCTAGATAGCAATCTGCCCGGCAGTTCAACCCGGCTGCAGGTGAAACTGCTTTCTGTGCTCTATTCCAGCCACAGGCCTAACCCTGGTAAGCCCCTGCTGACAACCAAAGTGCAGCATTTACGAAGACCGAAACCCCCTCGAGATGAAGAAGGCAGCAGCCTCCATGTGTCGCCTTTCTGGAGCTGGTGAGCAACAGACGGGGGTCTCACTTTCTCTCTCTCTCACACACACCGAGCAAGATAGGAGGGTGGCGCCGATTGGCTGAAAGAGCGATGGGACCATGAAGACCACAGCATTTCACACGAAACCCGTTTCAGGCTGAGCCAAGCACGTTCTCCAAAACCATACACACTGCGGTCCCCAGAGGCCTTAAATATAAGCAGAAACATCAATGCTGAAATACTAATCCTATAAAAAGGGTGCCTTCTAGGTCAGAGGGGCTGAAGAACAGCAGAGTCAGAGCTACAATCTGCACAAAGGAGCATCACAGGGAAGTCACGTATGCCAGGCCCTTATCTCTGCTCCCTGGGGGAGCACGACATTTATCAGCTGCCAAAGAAGCAGGCCAAATCACAGGCAACGTTTACCCCCGCCATTCCTGAAGAGCGCCGTGACAGACTCATGGTTTCACAGGGCTAACGATGTAATCCCCAGATTGTAACCTGCCAGATTTAAGCTCCCTTTAGCCAATCACAGTTAGATCTGGGGAACCTGAGTGCTACTGCCAGTTAAACCAAGACTATGCGTTTCTGGAATCTCGATAGCAGAAACGGAAGCCTTCTACAAACCCCACCTCCTCAAAACGTGGCACCCAGAATTTGCCACTTCAAAGCATGTGCTTCTGATAGGCCGTCCAGGTCTTGAGAAAAATGTTTAGAAAAACTCACAGAAGTCAGGGAACCCCATAGGGGAGAAACCACACTTCAGAAATGCATTAAGATCACACCTGGAAAGCACTAGAACAACTACCCAGCAGCACCGCCCGCCATCCATTAGCAAGACAAAGGCAGCAAATTCATGCTTGCAATGTTAATCAGAAAAGGTAAACACGAAGAGCATTGTTTACTAGCTCTATCACACCTAATTACCTTCTGCCCGGCTGAGTGGCTGTTTTTAGATGCTGAATAAATGTGATCCACATCACCTTCAGGAATGACTGAGCAGTCATTTTTACAGGACTTATTTATTTTTTACAGGTTTACCAAAAGCATTATAGCAAGAATATCTATAAGAAAATCACAAACATCAGCAACAAATTTAGCCATGAGACAAAGTGAAACACTAACTACTGAAACCACATTATGCAAATATAATTTCTGTTCAACTGTCCTTATTCCATCTGGTCGACGATTTACAGGCACTGATGTGGGTTTTCATCTGTCCTGTAAAACGGGTAAGCTTTGGGCAGATCGGGCTGGGGAAACTTCTGCTGATGGAGCATCAGCTCACGTGTCACTTACTGCCTCTGGATCACACGTGAGCAGCTCAAACAGGTCATGGTGCCAATTACATGGAGAGCCAGTATTTATGGGGCTGTCAAGCCTCAATCACGTCCAGATGTCTCGGATGGGTGAGACGGTCCACGGATTATGTATTTTTTTTTTGTTAACAATTACGTTTTCAGATGTGGGATTACAGGTTGATGGAACAATAACATTTAAGTCACACTTGGACTGAAAACGTATTATGGGAGGTTGTGGATTTAACTGTATTTAAAAACACAGCGACGGAGTTTTGGCACAAATGCATCCACATATATAGCAAAGAGGCCAAAATCAGGGTACTGAACAGAGCCCGTTAAACAGGGATCACCATAATCATTCCAAAATAAAAGCGTCCTTCACGGTCGTCCAGGACGGGGGTGGGGGGGCAGACCTGCCACTGACCCCGCGAGGCTGCAGGTGGAACGCAGACACTTACCGGGCCGGAGGATTTATTTTGGACATCCATATTAATAATATTAATAATAATAATATAGCAAGCGGGTCATTGACAGTATTTAACCCCTCTGCGGTCGGTATGGGAATGCAAACTCCTCCTCCAAAAGAGGCCGTTTAACCGTAATTTATCACCCATAAATCCATGATTGGTTTAACCGCGGTCCACCAGCTCGGTGCTATGGACTGACACGGAGGTCGAGTGGACCTAGCAGGACAGAGACTGCGAGCTTTTGATTTCAATGCGCAAATTATAATAGAAAATACATCCCCACACGGGTATTTACTAAAATACACTGACACACACGGACATCCGTAAACAAACTTCAACGGTCCATCGCATATTCAGCCTCAAAGGCTCCGGATGCCGAGGTGCCTTCACGGGCACGTTGTTCGCTGGACAGACTCCCAGCTAGAATGCTAACGTGCTAGCGCGCTAAGCTAAGCTAGCCGAGCCGCACGTCCTCCGGGAGCGACCGTGAAGGAGGCGGCGAGCTCGGCCCCCTCCTCCGCGGCTCCTCACAAGCCTCAAGAAAACCGCGTGGGTCCCAGAAAACCCGGAGAGGGGCTAACCGGGCCGAACCGCGAAGGCTGAGCTCGGTTTCCCACAGACAAAGGGCTCCACGGCTCGGCTTGGCGTGCGGACGCCGGCTAACCCGCTTAGCCTGCTAACCCGCTTAGCCGCCTAGCCTCCCCCCGCAGTAGAGAGAAAGACATTCCTGCAGTAGCTCCTCCACTTACCTCACTCGCGCCGCCCGGTCCGGTCCGGCGAGCCGTTAAGTGCACTCCATAGATCCGGGAGCGGCGAAAGAAACGGGCCGTACCGCTCGGCGTCGATTTACTCCCTCCTTCCTTCGGAATAAATACGAATGAACCCGCTCCTGAGGTACCTTATCCAGCGGCGGGGGAGGAGGAGGAGGAGGAGGAGGCCGCCTCACTGGGCTGCAGCCATCGCACGCCGGAGATCCCGTCCAAAAAATGCCGGTTAAAAGGGGAATAATGCGCGCTGGGCTTCCGAGCCAGCCTCTGCGGCCTCCCGGCCCAAGATAGTTAAGTCCCCCCCGGGTTCAGAAATGGACCCCAAACCCGTGACTCCGTTCGTCCGGCCACGGCGCCGAATCTATCCCGATGGCTGTTTGTGTAGCTCGGTGTCGGGAGCCTGATACAATGTAACCAGCCAGCAGCAGGGCGCCGACAAACCCCGGAGCGGAGTAAACTGAAAGCTGGAGCGGAGCCCGGCGTGGCGCACAACACGGACTGGATCCCTGTGTGGGATTCCAGATACTGCCAATGTCCAGATCTCTTGTATTGTAAGTATAACGCGTACGCAGCATTTCCACATGTAAGAATATTAACCAGGAGCAGTGCCAAACAGCACCTTTAAAAGCTGATAAATACGCATAAGGTTAACTAAACGAATATATTACCTAATGTATCAGTCAGCTACTACAAAGCCAGCTGTATTCACTGCAGTTTCATTTTCCTCAGGGGACATTTGAAGTGTTTAAAATGTCGAGAGGAATTTGGAGGAAAATATTTTATGTTTGATTCTGACCATAAAATTCTGAATTATTTTACAATGTCTGGTAATAGTTAAGTGGAGTATTATTTCAGTATAAACAGTGTCCTGACATAGCATAATGCATATATATTAAGTGCAGTGGTCAGATTTCACGTCGGCCTACGTGGAGGATACATCGGCTCACACCGGGAGGGGAAACCTCTCACCTCTGTCTCTGCCAGAATCTCCACCCACATGCTTACCTCCATTAAAGCCCACCAGATCATCAAAAAGGAAGATGGACAAAATCGGCGCGGCGAGATCCGAGAAATCTTTGGATTATCAGGCTATAGAGATTTATTTACGTTGACCACTCCCTATAACTAACCTTTAAAGTCAACAGTGTTCATAAAATTTAGGTAATTTATTTGCTGATAAGGATTTTATTTAATTGTAGGGCGGAGCAAGCTAGCATATCTTTCAAGAGCTGTAACATTAATTTAACTTCTTATCGCTGAGCTGTGTGGTTTATCTACACGCGCGATGTCACATGACATATATTTTACTATGGAATCTGCTTTCTGACACAGTGACTGTGAGCTTCCGGGAATGTTGGCAGCCAGCTGCACAGGAATGACAAATATTTAGAGATATCAACAGAGCGAGCGATGAATCAATAGAGCGGCCAGCAGGGTAGGCGCACTTGGCCGGACACCACGGAAGGTTGTTTGACCCTGGAGGGCGGGGCTCAGGACATTAACATTAGGGAAGTAGCAGGAAAGAAGGTATATGAGCAGTCGGCCAAAGCGGGGGAGGGGGGTTCGGGCCATTCACGGCATGGACAGGATTATACTTGATAGCTTATTACTTGCGTGCACAGGGAGCCCATCCACCTGTACATGTCAGCAGGCTAGACTGTGGCTTTATTTCGTTGATCTATGCGTCAATCGATATGTCACTCAATCAGTCTCTAATTTCATCTAACACAGTTTCACATCGTCACAAGAATGAGACACATCGCCAATTGTTTTACAGCTGATCAAGAAAAAAAACAACAGAAGGTCACAGATGGTCAATATAGGGAAAGTGAAAATAATTCCGTGAGCTCCCTCAGGAAGTGCCAGCTGTGGCTCACCCTAGAGGCCAGGGGTGTTACTGCCCCCTCCGTCACCAATAGAGCGACATCACATCTAACATGGCAAGTCATTGACTAACCGCAAACAAGGCACCAAGGTAAACAGGGGGGTGAGTCACCAACCCCCAGCCCCCACTGTGATGATATGACAGGCAATACACACCTTTTACTTCTCTAATTTCAATTTTTTGTTTTAATGTGACCTTTTGTTGTTCAGTATTGTGGTTTGCAGGAAACAGAAATAATGCTTTATATATTTAAGCATCTCCCCAGACGGACTGGCAGGTGCGATCAGGTGGCCAGTTTGGGAATGACATCAGCAGGGTGTCTGCAGCATGATGGGGAGCCATGGGCAGCCAATAGCACAGTCAGCTTGTGGGCTCTGGAGCTGACTGTCTGTTTTTGGACTTGGCGTGTCTTGGCCCAGGCAAAAGCACTTAGCGTGGAAAGAAAATAAAAATAGCCAGAACTTAAACCTAGCTTAGATGTATACATAGTCGAAATAAGTCACTTTGCTTGCAAAAGGAATAAATATGAACGCAAACAACCTGCTTTCTGATGGGACATCGCACCACTCGAAGCCAGACGAAAGACCACCTCTGAACACTGCACTATCCAATCACAGGACACTAAGGGCAGCCTGAGCCACACCCACAGGCCTACAGACTGCCAATCAGTGTGAGGAGATAGAGGTTCTTGAATGGAGCATCCAGGAGCGACAGAGCCTTCAAGACGGAGATGAACAGCTAAGGATGTGATCTTATGATGACCTTATTACTTTTTGAAGGGGGGCGGGTGGGCACAGGACTTATTGTGTGCAGCACAGAGTGGAGCTCTCTACCATCTGTAGAGGTCGGCAGCCCTAGAACAAGAAGGGGAACTCCTGTAGTGGGACTGTACACCTCGGACACCGCTGAGCGTATATCGATACACCACGGAACAGAGCACCTCCTACTGACGGAACAAACAGCATGGAGCAAGGAAAGAAGGATCAAAGACAGTTCAATGAAAACACACACACACTGTTTTCAAATATACAGATATATGTGTGCCAATTTAATTTCATACTACACAAGTTTCCAGAATACCGAGTCACCGGCGTAACCAGCGAGTCACCAGCGAGTCACAGAACACTAAGATGGGCTTCCTCCTGGAATAAACTCCCCTGCATAAGAGAGTGGTTGGTACAGCCCAGCTCGGTGCAAAATCCCAAAGGGGATGTGACCAATGCTGGTATATTCTGGTCCGGTGGCAGTCCTGCCCCCCTCCTGTAATGCAGCAGGCTGGAACGATTCTGGTGGTCGTCCCTGCAGTGACCCCTGACCCTACCCCCCTCAGGGTCACACGGCTGCTCAGCTCTTCATTAACCCCTTCTTCGCTCCTTGGTGATACTGGCTGTCGAGCTTCCCTGTGAGAGAGAGATGTGGGGGAGGGGGGCGTTATTAAACAGATCACCTGTCAGCCTGATACCTCTGCGGTCCAGCAGGTTCAGCACTGCTCAGTGGGGGGGGCTAAGTGAGAAGAGCCCACCCACGCAGTTTGCTATCACATGGATCATGATAAAGTTAAACTGCCATGTTTTACAGACATAAGGGCTCAAGTGTCCCAATTCTAATCTGTTCATCTGCAACTCTGGACAACAAAGCATCTGACAGCCGGCTGGGGTGTCTCTTTCCCCTGCGGGGGCCCCCGCCGTCATCCCCGGAGCCTTTGGCATTCCTGCACCCTGACATCATAGCCATCAGTCCCACAGAGATGTAGGCAGGCTGTAAATCATTCAGCGCCCGAGGCAGATAAATCAGGATTAAACCAACACAGATCGCCTGGACTCTCAAAGGATCGATAAAGAAACTAGCTGACATCTCCCTAAACCGTCTTCTGAGGCGTTTAGAATGAAAACCGAGATGCAGAGCAAGTTTAAGACATGTACACTCTATGTTGAGCAAAGTACACAGGATTCTCTTGCCAAGAAGACAGTCCGGCCTAAAACAGCAGTCTAGCCGCACTGGGTCATGTGATCAGACGTTCAGGCAGGTCCAACCGGCCCAGCGCCAGCTGAACATTATACTTATTTTTAGCTGACACTTATCCCTAGCGACATACATTCATTTTTTTTTGTGAGAAAGCAGGATTAGCCAGTCCCTGGGGCAATTTAGGGGGTTAAGGGCCTTGCTTAGGGGCACCAATGGTGACATCACTCTGCTGATCCCAGGCCTGAAACCCCACACCACCCAGGAAAGACAGAGCGTAGTGGCATCCAGGCACATCACAGTGGATTGTGAGCCAGTGGCTCAGAGCCCAGAAGGGAGCTGCTGCTGTGGCAGTCAAAGGGACCCAAGTTGGAGGTCCAGCTGTGTCCTGCTGCGGGTAAGACTCAGCTAACAGCTCAAGCAGTAACGGCAGAGGACAGGACAGCCCTGCACCATGCTCTTCCTGCAGGAGACCTTTCCAGAAGGAAGTGCTGTGAGGAGCCACGGGAGACGTCCTGCAGAAGCTGGGATGGAGATCCATCTTCCTCCAGCGTGCCAGGAGGCTGCAGGCGACAGAGCTGCTGACGGTGCAGGCTGTGTGGGCGGGTTCGGCTGCTGAGTCAGGGTCCTTCTGACTGGCCAGTGAGGCGGTGCCGGGATGCCCACACAATCATCCAATTGGCTGGCAAGATGGATCTCAAGAGCCCTGGGGTTCAGCGCGATTGGCTGAGAGCCTTGCACACATTGCTCCACCACCAATGTTTTGGCACCTTTTCACACCCAGACCCCACCTGCCACACAGATCTGAGGACTGGGGGCCTGGGGGGATTTTCGCAGGCTTCACTGAAACTGCATCTTTTTACCCGTCTAAAGGAAAATACCTGAAATAAAACCTGCCCCCCCCCATCTCAAACTCCCCATTGTCCTTGAGACTAATTGTTTTTTTCCTACAGATGCTTGCACCTAAAGGACAGATGTGGTGCACGTGTCTCTCTCTCACACACACACACACACACACACACACACACACACACACACACAAACACACACACAAACACACACACACACACACACAGGCTTAGCTGCTGCTGAAACATGGCACTTTCTTTTACATTTTATATTTTTAGTTACTTAAGACACTTTAATCCAAAATGACACACATTTCACAAAGCAGAGTCAGACAAACCCTGGAGCAATTGGGCTCAAGGGTCCAATAGTGAAATCACTGCTGACCCTGGGATTTGGTGCCAACTTTCCGATCACAGGCACAGTGCCCCAACCCGCTGAGCCATCCGTGACCGAGGGCGATCGCCTGCCCCTCACGTTCCAGCTCTGCCATCTGCTGGAGAGCTGCTGACAAACGCTCTGACCGCAGAGACCATGGGGTCAAGGTGGGGTAGGGGGCTCAGCAATTCGGCGTTCCCTAGTTCCCGTTTGAGGCATCAGAAAAGACAGAATGTGGGGCTGCTTTACTGTGCTGGAGCAGGCTGACCCTGTCTCTGCAACACTGGGCCACACTGTGACACTGCCAGTGACCCTTCAAGGTCAGGGAGGGTCAGCATGGATTGAGATGGACAGTAAAACACTCATTACAATATTCAGCAGCAGGCTGAGGAAAATCCATAATTCTATAACAGGTTCTCAAAAGGCACCAAGTGAGAACCAGCCCAGCACTGGCAACACATCGGTGGAAATGAGACACTAGTTAACTGGTTTCTGCCTGTCTGGTGATAGATTTAACCACACAGACATGACCGGCTTAAACTGGAGCAGACAGCGTTGCTTTTTAAAACCACGTGTGCGTGCGTGTATGTGTGAGTGAGTGGTTGGGACTCACAGATCTTGTGCCTCCCTTTCATGGGAAATTTGACCAGCAGCTCCTGGGGGCTGGTGCAGATGAAGACGAACGGTGATGCCGACTCCTCACAGGTGTCAGGGAACTGAGGGGATAGAAAGAGAGGCGTGAGCAAGAGGAGGGCAGGGGAGCAGAAGTGACAGTAGCACACTGACAGACAGACAGGCAGAGAGAGAGACAACCCAATGGCACTTCTTGCAAATCCACCTGCAATTATTGGCTCTAATTTATAAAAGCCAGAGTCCTACTTCATGTCCAAGACCCTTTGAACGAGGCTTCTGATGACATCACTGTCATCCTGCCCCTGACTCTATGGTGAGTGCTGCCATTTTCAGAGGACATGTGTCACGCATCTCCAAAGCACACCTTCCAGCACCCCCACACTGCCCTCCTGTCCTTGTGTTCTGGCACCCGGGACAAGACACGGCTCAGCTCCAGTCCGCCCAGGCGTGCAAACAGCACTGTTACACCTCCATGCAGACACCCCCCACTTCACCTCCTTCACCTCGCCTGAACCGCAGGTGACAATGGCAGAGAATGAGAGCATCTCCCGAGGAACCGAAAGAGAGATGGAGACAGTGAGTGGCTTCCAGAAGCCGGCCTCTCCCTGACAGACAATTAGGGTGTCAGCTTTCAGACACTTAACGTGCTTCAGGGAGGCCACAGCAAGGTCGCTCCCTGGAACGCCACACCATCAGGACCTCAAACGCAGACGGCACTGCTCCATGGACCTCAGCACACGCTCAGCAGAGTGATGTCACTGTCAGGCCCCTGAATAAGGCCCTTAACCGTAATTGCTGCAGGGATTGCATGACAGTGAAGCAATGTTAAACCAGGAAATGACATCCAGGAAATGAGGTCACTGGATACAGCCAGACGAGCTTTGACAGCCGGCAGACGCAGGTTTGCAGCCACATACTGATGCAGTAGCACTGCTGGTGACTACTCAAGGTTTCTGAGGTGGGGGGCTATTCGGAGCCTCGATCTGTGCAGCCACCTAAATGGCCCTTGTCAACCGACACAGTTCAGAATTTCAGCCTGGCATCGTTTTATTCCACAGAGACGCGCTATTCTGTGAAGGTCACGCAGGGGAAAGGCTGACCGTTACCCTCAATGCCAATCCAGCAGCAATGCCTTGGGGGCACCATGAAACCCTTGCGGGAGGTCTGTGTCATGTGACCTGATTTGGGGGTGGGGGGGGGCGTGCAGGGCTACAGAATGGCTGAGAACAGCACTCACACCTGCAGAACATGGCTGCCTGCTACAGGACTAATATGGTTGACAGCTCCCTCTGCTGGTGAAAGAGTAGAACCAGCAAAAGTACCTCCATTTGTAATATACTGTATTTTTGACGATGATCAAACCGTCTTTATTTGGCAAAACTGAATGGTTATTATTAACTATTACAGAATTCTATAGAAGTCCTGGCCTCGTGTTCGTAAGCAACCTCAGGGGGGCGCTCTCACCTGTTCTCTGTACTGCTCCTGTGCCAGGCAGTCCACTAGGCTGACACAGCCTAGCAGGCAGCCGGTGGGGTAGTCCTGGGGGAACGGGACATCTGCAAGACAGCATGGGCCCCGATGGGACGACGGCCGGGTGAGTGGGGGCCTGTGCGGGGGTGTGTGTGTGTGTCTGTACATGCGTGTGGCCACACCTGCTCCGTACAACTGACGGTACTGGGCCTCCACCTGGGAGATTTCCTGGGGGGTCGGTTTCTTGGCGGCCGCCGCAATCCAAAGACGCCCACGGTGGGGGGTGTACCACGTCCGGCCCTCCACCCTGCACAGAGATACCGGCTACCGTCAGTACACCGTGTGGACACCAGGGGGCAGCCCTCCCCCACTGCCAGGCTCTGACAGCACCATAACCTGAAAAATGGTGGTTATAGGGCCCATCTGTCCTGGAAGCGTATTTACTGTAAAAACCTTTATTCAGGAGGAAACTCTTGCTGCACGATAGTAAACTACCTCTAAACTCAGAATTAAACTAAACAGTGAATTTAACCCAATTTAAAAACTCAAGATTTTAGTCCATGATTTAATCAAATCTTGAATACTGGTCAAAATTTTACTCTTCTGTGTTTTTCTGGTTTATTTTATGGACCTGCACTCATGTGTCTCTCACTAAGGGTGGTCACAACTTTAGTGGGTGATGGGACATTTCCCCACTGATTTCCTTACCACTACAACCCCTGCTGGCCCACATGATCATAATCTCAATACCTCTTGATGCCCTTCGCGAGCAGCGAGGCCCACGGCTGGTGCATGGAGAGGCACCAACCATCATCCGCCATCTCCTTCAGCTCGGGGTCCTGCAGCCTCAGCATGGCTCGTGACTCCTCCTTGGCCTGACCCTCTCTGATTGGCTTCCTGTGGGCCTCACGAGCCCCCACCTCCACCCACTGCCGGCGTGGGATAAGGAGAGGCGTGGTCAGGAGGAAGGGGGGGGGGGCAGGTAAAGGGGGAGAGTGAGGGGGTCAGGTCAGGTGACTCACCACGGGAGGCGTCTGCGTGATGTTGGGGTTCACCAGATCTCGCAGGGGATGCTGGGTCTGTTCCTGCCTGGAGGTCTGAGTCAGACCACCGCTTTTTATAGCCTGAACGGCCTCATCGAACCTGTTTGCGGGGAGGGCAGTCTGACTTGTCAGGAGCTGCAGCCCTTAGCATTAGCAAAGACACTTAAAACTACACATATATGCACACCAACGTGACATTTACGTATTTAGCAGATACATTTATGATGTGATGTACTATTGTACTAAAACAGGGTCAGCCAGTCCCTGGAGCAATTATGGGTTAAGGTGAAATCACGCTGACCCTGCTAACCTTGGGATTTGAACCAGCAACCTTCTGGTCACAAGAATAGCAACCCAACCCACTGAGTCACACACTGCCAGACACACACACACACACACACAGAATTCTCATCTGAGCCCCCCAGCGCTGCCATGCTCTGCCCCCCCAGATCTTACTTGGTGTAGTAGTGCCCAAGGTCATCCCCCTCCTCTAGCACCTGGCGACCAGCAAAGTCCAGCGTGATCTTCCTGTCTCTGCGGGTGGCGTGACGGAGCTGCTGGAGCTCCTCCTCGCGCTTCCGTAGTGCCTCCCGCTCCCCCGGGGACAGCCACTGGTTGGAGTCCGTGGAAAAGTAGTCGGCCTCGTCGTCGAGAACCTGGGTCCGTCGCACGCTGCGGCAAACAGCCCCATGAGCGCTGGCGTGCTGTTAGCATGATGCTAACAGCAGCGTGATCGCGGCACGGCCGACCTACCTGTGCCTGTCAAACTCCAGCAGCTTCTCCTTGTGCTGGATAGCCTTCTCCAGCCCGGCCTTCATCTTGGCTTCCTGTGAGGACAGACAATCCCTCTCTGTCCCATCGGCCATCAGCCCGCGATCTGCCACCCGAGCACAGGACACACACAGCCATGATGTCACCATGACGTCGCTACTGACCGCGCTAACGGGCCCGTCTCTTCCGCCACTTACCGCCCATGAGTTTCCGCAGCAGCTTCTGGCTTTTGTTCGAGTCCCTCTGCAGAACCTCCTGCTCCTCTTTGGTGCAGACCTGGAAGAGAGACAGCTTCATGGAGACCTTGCAGACATTACCTGGGCCCTGCTGGCAAATCTCAGGAGGTAAGAGCTAATTGTGTTGCACCATAAAAAATGAGGAAGGAGCTCTTTGTCAGAATTCCTGAAGCACAGAGATTAGACTACATGATATTTACTCCCTTGGCAGATGCTTTTACCTAAAGCAACATGCAATCACAAAAGTAAGAGCAGCCAAAGGTTATGGGCCTTTCTCATTGGTGAAATCACTCCGTTTACCCTGGGATTCGAAACAACAACCTTCTGATCACAGACACAGAGTCCCGACCCCCAATGCCACACATTACCCCATGATATATGACAGCAAAAACACAAGGGATTCTTGGAATGGTCGCATCAGGTAAGGTGCTTACCCCAGGCCCCTTCATGCCCCATATCTGCCCCACGTAACCCCGCAGGCCTCACCAAGCTGCCACAGAAGAGGCAGGGGCCCGAGCCTTCCTGCTGGCACACAATGCGCCCACAGCTCAGGCAGTTGTTGATCAGTCGGTGCTTCTGGGCCAGACACTCGCAGGGATGCCGGCCAGGCAGCAGGATGGCAAGCCCATCTTCACCCTCCTTGGCGTATAGGTTCACAAACTTTGTCTTCTTCCTCCCTTGGGAAAGGCTGCCGCTCTCCTGTGCCTGCTTTGCCTGGTGTAGTGTCAACACAGCGAGCTCAGCTGCCTTCAGAAGTTGCTAGGAGCATTTTCCAGAATGTTCTCCTCCCCCCGGCACCTAACCTTCATCAGGTCGATGGGCGTTTTCACCTCCTCTGGCTCAGGCTGCTGCTCGGTGACCATCACCACCTCCTGCTTGTTTCTTCCTTTTCTCTTCGACTTCTTCAGTGAGTCTTTGGCCATACCTGAAGGCTCTGTATTGGACAAGTGCCAGTGATAATGAATAATCTACTTTCTTTTACATGGCTCTCGGACACACCTCTGCTCCTGAACATCTGCTCCTCACCATCGTGCACCTTCTTCTTGTGCAGGAATCCTCCACCATCAGCCGCATTTCCCTGTAACTGGCGCCACCTCCGCAGTAACTCATCTATGAACTCCTTCTTCCTACCGTCTGTTCCCTGCAGCAGGTCCCCCACGTACTCGGCGATCTCCTCCGCGGTCTCAATGGACAGGATGTACCTGCAAGGCGTCGGCAGTTCAATTAACGCTGTGCCGGTGTTCTGTCGATATATGCTGCCTTGTCGAAAAATGCTACCTTAGTGCTAATCGATAGCCCTAACCCTAACCCCCAAAACCCTTACCTTAACCCTAACCCTAATCCCAAGACGGTGGAACTGCACATGCGCAGAAAGGCTAGATAGCACGTCTCGATAGGTAGTATTTTATGACAGAACACCGGTACTAACAAGATCAGTGCCATCTAAACCTAAAGAATGCCGTTTATAACTCCCATATATCAATAAATACTAAATTCAGAAAATAGCGTTCAGAGTGAAGGGAAACGTGTTCATTTTCACATAAGCGGTGTACTTAAGACAACGAACCGGTACTCTGAAGACAAAAATAACATCTTTATTTACAATCTAGTAAAGTCTGATTATCTAGTTGTCAGTGTCATTTTCTAGTCTTCTCTTCCTCATTTAGTTTGTCAATAACCACCGGTACAAATACACAATTAGTAGATTATCGGTACGTCAAAACACATCACATAACAACAAAAAGCAATCCCGAATACTGAACCTACTAAATCAAAGTCTAACTGACCAGCCAATCGACAGAATAGCCCCATTTACAGAAGTGACATGGCTAAAATAACAAGTGGTAACCAACGATCACTTACTGGACTATGTCGTCGCTGGCCTCCAAGCCAAAATTACTGTTAAGCTGATCCACACTCCAACGAAGTAGCGATTCTGACATTTTGAAAAATGTACGATTTTCATAGGCCTGTAACGACAAGAAGAGAAACCGTCGTATCTGCAGCGCTCCGTCAGTATATTAAGCTCGTTGGGAAAACGGTTACACGTGATATTCGTTCCGACATGTCATTAGGGGCCGTTTCTGTAATACACCATGACATTAGCATCTGGAAAATACTGGAGAATCCCAAGGTTTGTTGCGAACATATTTCACATAAAGAGTGGTCGGTGCATATAGCTTTTGGTGCATGTGTTTTTCCTTAAGCCTTAATGTCATAATAATGCCGAAATAAAGTTTTAAAGTAGTTAACGCAGCCAGCTTGCCCTGCAAAGAGCAAGTTGGGGGAAGCGATCAAATAAAGTAGGGGATCAATGAAGTAGTAGCGGCATCGTAGGGCAATGAGAACTATTTATATTCGTTGCCTTTCACGAGAAAACGGTTTTAATATATAGGCAAACCACGAACACCCCGGTATAATTTTTATCCCGGTGTGGGCATTCGTGTTTAACGTAATGGCGTAAGAACCAATGAAAACGATGAGGGGCGCTGCTGCTATTACCGAAACGCCCCTCAGTTAAATCCTCCCCTTCTCCATTATTCTGACATGGGATGTTTTTTATATGCGTGTATGAATCTACGTCAAACTGAAAACATCGTGGAACCGTTCATAAAAAATCTAAAATATTATAAATTTAGTTAACCCTGCAGTTATAGTAATACGAGACGCTGCTCTTGATAAGCGGCTGGAAGAGAAATGGATACATGTTTGTAATATGTCGATTTTCATCAGGTTAATAATGTTATAACCTTATATTGTTTGTTGAAACATGTTATGGTCCGTTTAATAATACACCCGTGAATTCGTTATCAGTACAGGCGACCCTTCTGCACTATTCCCGTCGCGGACGACACAAAAAGTTTAGTAACTCATAAATGCATGAATATATGTTAGTGCTGGTTTGGAGGACGACCAGCGTGTTTACATGTGACATCTCGCAGTTATTATCTCCCGATTATCTTAAAATTGTTCACTTGGGTTTTTCATATCTGCCGGCGCCCTTAACCACACACTTCTCATAAGTTGATCGATGTTCTATCCAAGCCCATGAAGAAGTACATATATGTCTTTAAAATCATTAATAATTCACTGTCACTCGATACAACTAACAGCAACAGGCGGGCAGGGACACCGCCATGGTAACGGCCACCAGCGCGGTCCCCCGCAGACCAGACCTCCCGCCGGGAGGCTGCGATATTGACTGTCCTGCCGGATCAGGGAGAAATAGCTCCGCAGTTCATCATGCACAGAGCCTACCAGCCCCTGAAGCCTTCCACCAACAAATATATACAGCAGAAGTGGGACCAGAGCAACTATGAACAGCACAGGAGAAAGGTGGGAAAACACAAGTTTATTACTTCCATAGAGTTTGCGAACAGGCGGAAAGTCATTGAAGTACATGGCTACATGTGCCTAAATTTGTGTTATTAGTTTTGGGGTCCAGAGTTTGTGTCTGTGTTTTTTAGCAGGGGGAACCATATATTCTATCCTTAAGGTAATGTTCCCGCTACATATCTATGCACAAACGTATGATTAATGGCTGAAATGTCATTCAGATATCTGTTTGCATGTAAAGAGATTTGTATCACCAGTTTGGTGTCCTGCAGTTTCTGTATGTGCGTTAACATAAAAAAATCACGCTCAGTGTTTTAATAGAACAGGATTATGTTTCAATGGGTACAAAGACATCGTTAGACGTGAAGAGTAAGTTTGTCTACAATTAAATTAGAATTAGAATAAACAATATCACATCGAGCATCAGAAACACTACCATTTTTTGTATTTTACCAACAAACTCTATTACCAGCGATGTAAATAGTTTGTTACCTTTAACGAATAAGGAAATATCGGAAAGACAGGCAATGTTGTTGCATAAATGGATTGTCTACCTCAGCATATTAAAGAAATTAAGAGAGACATTAAAACGACAGCGAAGCCGTCTAACTGCGAAGTAGCGGGTGACAGTCATATATCAGAGGTAGGTTAGTCGAGTAGGTTAGTTATTTAGTTAGCTTCCTTTGAGGTGACAGGGCTGTTTCGCTCCCCAGGTCAGCACGGCTGTGCCTGTTGTGGACACCAAAGGCATCCGGACTCCGGCTCACATGGCGCTGAAACTAAAAAAGCGGCAGGTGCGTGTGGGCGTGGCCCCGGTCACGTGACCCGGTCATTGTCCCCTACTGCGTGACGATAACAACACCTTATCATTTTACATGGTGGTCATCCATCCGGATGCATTTCCTCTGAGGAGGAATTGTCTGTCACACATGTATTCAGCTGAATGTTGACTGAGGCTACTGGGGTTAAGTAGCTGCACTCGGGAGGACTGAATATGAAACCATTCTCCTACATGTCCTGGTCACTGGAAGTAGATTTCAGCATGTTAATGATTTAAATGCACTAGTTACCTGTTTCATCCCATGAAACAGAGCAATGCTTAATGTCCCATGTAGAAAGAATGCAACAAAATTTCTATATGACATATATGACATTTTCTTGCTAATAAATACTGTATTTACTGAAAATACTGTACATTTATTTTTTAGCAAAGAAGATTTAATGTATTTTTAGTAAATGTTAAGTGAGTAACATGCAAATGTAGAAAATCTGTGTGTGCAAAACCTTTTGATTTGAAATGTACATCCTGAATTATATCACATATCTTATCAGTACTTATATTAAGTACTTACTAAGTAACTGACACTTTCATCTCTGTGCATTGGTCCTGGTCACTGTGGACCAGTTGGAGCAGGAGAGGCTGACCATCATCGAGAGGGACAATCAGCTTCTGTCCTCCAAGCTGGCGGACATCATGTGCTCTAAGGGATACGTGGATGACAGGAACGACTATCCTGAGCGCAGGTGAGGAGGCGCCTTTCGTATGCCGAGCTCCGGTGAAGATGAGCCTTTTGGAGTCATGTGGCTTTCAGGGGGGGTACCCCAATCACCAAGGCTCTCTTATCACGGTAACACCAGAGCATCAGGTGCAGTTTGCTGTTAATACACTGTGGTAACAAGGAAAGAAAATAAATACTGCACATGTAAGTCTTTCGTGCATAAATTCCATGGTCGGTGCTAAAATGTACAAAATCAATAACAAAAATAGACAATATAAATGTGATTCGATGGACCAGTTTTTCTTTATTTTACCGGCCCATATAAACTCTAAGCTGGTTGGCAGAGGTGGACATTTCAGGTCCAGAATGTAAAAATCCAGACAAGATTTCGTTTCAGTCAACCAGCTAGTATAAAGGCTGTGTCCGAATTCAGGGGCTGCATCCCAAGAAGGATGCATTCCTGGGGGCTCTGGACCACCCCCCCCCCCCCCCCCCCCCCTAAATATAATATGCAGTTACAGGAAGTGGATGGATGGTTGGTGGAAACTAAATCTTGGTCTGGATTTTTACTTTCTGGTTCTGAAACGCCCACCTCTGCCAACCAGCTTAGAGTTTATATGGGCCGGTAAAATAAAGAAAAACTGGTCCATCGAATCACATTTAT